AAGCGATATAAACTGAATATTATTGGCAGATGTCTAACCTCTCTGAAACCGCCAAAATCGACAGTCACTATGAACCATTCATAACAGCCGGAGCCATCTTTTGAAAACGGACCGAACTAATTTGTACACCCAATAATATTACTACTAGCTGTGATAGTTAATAAACAACGACATTGAAGACTACATTCGAGCGCTATCTTTATTATTGAATCAATGATTAGTCTAAAGATATCTCGAAAGTGGCGCCACCTGTAAACAAAATGATATCATTATATGTCATTATATATCTCCGTTGAAACATATAATGTATACTAACATATAATGTATACGTATAATAATATACAATTTTTGTCTGAAACATTTTTCCCTAAAATGTCGCGTTTACAAAAATCGGGTAGTACGGGTGGTTTGTGACACCATGTATATCATTTGTTATAGCAAATTTGGCATAAAAAAAACCTTCAACTGTCAAATCGAAAATAATTCTATTAAATCGAAAATCTATACTGTCCTCAGCTAATTTAGCTAATAGACGTGTTTTCAATGCTTCAAAGTTTACGCAAAAACTTCTCGGGCCATTCGATTATTGGATGATAAATCCTTGGACTAGAACGTGTTCCCCGGGTTTTAGACGAAAACTATTGGATATAGGAATAAGTTTTAATCGTTTTTTATGTAGACAAAAAACATAGTTTGAATATGAAAATATTAAATGATTTTATTCAAAATATTTTCCATCTGAAACGACAACCTTCGCCCATCTTTCGGGCAATAAACGGATTTCTCGAGTGAAGAATTCTATTTCTTTCGAGGTGATCCAGTCATCGACCCATTTTTGTATGCTGTCATATGAGGTGAAGCGCTCTCCAATAAGTACCGACTGCATCGACCGGAACAGATGATAGTCTGAAGGGGCAATGTCTGGTGAATACGGCGGGTGGGGTAGGACTTTCCATTTCACCCCTTCTAGGTACGTCCGGACGGGTTGACCAACATGTGGCCTAGCGTTGTCGTGCTGCAAAATCAGCTTTTCGTGTTTATTGGTCAACGGCCATATTGGTAACGGCCATTCCGGCCGTTTTTCTTGAATAGCTTGTTTCAAACTCATTAGTTGAAGTCGGTAACGTTGGGAATTGATAGTTTCGGACGGTTTCAGCAGCTCATAGTAGACTACACCCCGCATATCCCACCAGATACAGAGCATGACCTTTAACCCGTGAATATTGCGCTTTGGCGTTGATGGACCTGGTTCACCTGGCTTCACCCATGCTAGTTTGCGTTTAGGATTGTCGTAGTGAATCCATTTTTCATCGCCAGTGATGATCCGATGCAAAAAACTCTTTCTTTCTTGTCGTTGAAGCAACATTTCGCACGTGACCAAACGCCTTTCAATGTCCCTTTCCTTCAACTCGTGTGGTACCTAATTTCCTGCCTTCTGAACCATTCCCAGCGCATGTAGGTATTTTCCAACGGTGGATCGATCAACATCCAATGCTGCAGACAATTCTTCAAGTGTCTGACATGGATCAACATCAAGCAATTTCTCAAATTCCTCATTTTGGAACTTTTTTGGGGCACCATCGCGTTCTTTGTCGTTGACATCGAAATCACCACTTTTGAAGCGTTGGAACCAATATCTGCAAATTGGCTCCGATGGAGCATGGTCGCCGTAAACATCCACAAACAAATGGCACGTTCCCGCAGCACTTTTCTTCGAAAGATAGTAGTGGAGAAGAACTTCCCGCAAATGCTGCTTTTTTGGAACAAATTCCGACATTTTCGATGCGATATGAATACTTGCTGTTTGCACTCCAAACAAAAGTCTTATACTGCGTTTAACAGCTTACATATACACCTTTTAAATCCATGTATCGAAAGGTTAGAAAAGATGCAAGCGATATTATTAATACCATCTATGGGGAAACGATTAAAACTTATTCCCATACCTAATAACTACGGCATCGTGTTCAGCGAGTCAAAATCCTCTGGAAATGATGTTTTGTCTGTTCCCCACAATGGGCCAAAATCGACTCTTTTTACCCATTGTTCTTTCACCTTTCAACGAACACCTAACGAATTTTCGATTTTATTAAAAGACATAACCACGCTGACAATATTAATTTTATAGATATTTATTCACACTATCAGTAGTAACAACATTATAATAAAACAGATCAATTCTCTCATATACTTTGCTATAAACAATAACAAGAAAAATTAGATATTTGATGGTAGCTTTTAAAAGTTAACTGTTCTTGATTTTGTACCGCATTATTTAAAAAAAAATATTCTTAAAACGTTTTATATATTTCATTCCTATTATACAGAATGCCTCGAAACGCACGATTATCCTTTGGAGGTGTGAAAGAGAGTGAAATTCTGAAGTCAAAAGTTCCTCTTCCATTTTTTCCTCTGATCATTAATAACAAAGTTATTAACGAAAAAGTCGACCAATGGCGCGTACAACTATCGCGTACTGTACATTAGCGCGAGGCTCCGCCCTCTGCTAGCGCCGGAAATATTTTTACCTGATGGTATTAAATAGCTCATTTATCATCCATTTCATAAGTTTAAAAGTCGGAAAACACCTCACTTCTTCCTTTGTTTCCACAATTCGTTGTTTATGTTTTAAATCTCGGTGCATTAAGATTGAGGAGCTGTTACTAAAGAGTATTTCGTGCAAGAAATGACAACTCTCAGCTATTTCTCAATCCGCGAGATATCGAAGATGAAAATGTAAACATAGGAAAAGCAAAACAAAAGGTAAAACGAGAATTTATTGTGATAAATTAACATGTTATGAAAAAGTACATAAGGAATAAACATTATGTAGTTTCTGCGAACAACGTTTCGAACGGGCGCTCTAAAAAATTAGTCTTTTTCAAAACCAGTAAAAAACCGTTGGTCTTTATCATTTCAATAACATTTAATAAAATTTCTATTTTTAAACTTGTTTTCAATTGATTTTTTATTTTTGTTGATTAAAAATGATGATGAATCAATTAGCTCATCAAATGGATAATAAACGAACTATTTGATATCATCAGATAAAGACAAATTTTGGCACTAGCATAGGGCGAAGTCACGCGCCAGTGATACTGCGTGACAGTCGTGTACGCCACGCCATTGATCGACTGTCCTTGTTAATAACTTTGTTATTAATGGTCGGAGGAAAAAATGGAAGAACTTTCAACTCAGAATTTTACTCTCCTTCACATCCCTAAAGGATAATCGTGTATTTTGAGACATTCTGTATATACTTGAAAATTTCGAACAGATAGTACTGCTATGTATTTTTAAACTTTATAGAATAAAATTTCATTTGCAAAGTAGTGTACATTGAATCATTTAAATTTAGTGATTTTTTATTTATACAAAATGCGTAATTAATTCCGAATTATGTGAATACTTCGTTCGAAAATGAAACGTAAATCTAATATACTCCACCGTTATAGGAACATATTAACTTAAATCAATTAAAATATTCGCTTATGTAGAATTGAAATTCATTCTATATATGGCTTGATAAGATATTTAGCTGAATGTTACAACACACAATTATTATTTTTTTTTATCTTGCCTGTTGTAGATTTAACTTGGGAGATCTTATTTTTTATGTGTAATCTCATAAGAAAAATCTAACGAAATTAGTTCTGACCAACTCATAAATCCGTGTCGTCCGATAAAATGATGTGGAAACATTGTTTATAGGTTATTACAGACACAATTTGTGTCTATGATCAGAAATACCATCATGCTGGAATCACATATATGCTTTAGTCGACATCTTTCAAAAGTGCAAGAAGTCTTCCAAAAGTGCAAGTTTATTTTGATTGAATTTATCATATACGACTCCTTAATGTCTCATCATAAAAATAAGACTCAACAATATACTTATCCATAATTCTACACTAACATTAGGACTATCTGTACTGAAATGGGACAGTGCGATGTCAACGTAGATTTTCCTCGAGATCAATAATGACAATTATATCTATTAATTTCGTACCTATTATTAAAATTTGTTTTGTCGAAAAAGATAAAAGAATAAAAAGATAAATCATATATTATCATCCATTGAAACTAATAGCAAAACTATATTTTATGAATAAAATAGTTTTAACCTAATACTTACAAGGAACATGCGCGAAGTATGTATCACTGATTTCGACGAAACTTGGCATATTTGTAGAGTAGCCAAAAATAAGAGACCCATATTTTTTTATCAGCAATGGCTCAGGTTTAAGGAGTGAAACTGCCCCTCAAAGTTTCATCCCCTTTATTCTTTATGTCCCCTTTATTCCCCTTTATGTCTCGATAATTATTGTAATTAGAAAAGAAACTTTTTAAACAAAAATTGTACAGTTTTTTTATAAAAAATTAAATAGTCTTGATTAAGATAAAAAAATGTTTTTGACGATTAACAAAATAACCATGTCAGGCTTAATTATTAATTTGTCAAATTCATTATATGGAGGAAAAAGTTAGCATTTTTCATTTCGAATCCATCTATCTATATATTGTTTTAATGTATAGTGTATATATTTTATTTAAATTATACGGATATTGCTATTTATAAGTGGAAGTAATACTATCAGGTATTTGAATTAATTCTCGCTGTTGATTAGTAGAGGTCATTTGTGCTATTTCAACATAGCAACCGATGGTGATCAATGGTTCAACATAGGACCGAAAGTGACCGATGGTATATATGAAAGTACTGTCAATAGGATTTAATAACACTGGCCTGCAAAATTTCAAAAACTTTATGCGTTTTGGATGTCAAAAGTCATTTTCTACGCTGAATTTTGTCCGCTGAATACACATCCGGCCTTAGAATTTTTCTATCACATCAGGTTTTCGAAATAATTAGGTTTAAATAGCCAAAAAATGCCGTTTTTCACTAGGCTACCCAGCCATTGAAGACAAGGCTAGATGATCCAGCCACTGAAGGCAAGATTAAAAGGCTGCCCAGTCACTGAAGGCAAGGTTAGATGATCTAGCCACTGAAGACAAGATTAAAAGGCTACCCAGTCACTGAAGGCAAGACCAGATGATCCAATTACTGAAGACGAAAGCGAAAATGTTAATAAAAAAAGATTTTATTTATCCAGAAATAGAGTCAAAAGAGCGTTTCTTGGACTTTTTACTATGAACCACATCAGGAATGTCTCGTTCAGTACTCCAACAGTAATCTGCTAACATATGAATATCTCATCGATCCTGATATCTTTTTTCCATTTCTTTAATATCCTGATGAAATTTTTCCCCTTGTTCCTCGCTTATGCTTCCTAAGCTACATTTGGGGAAGTAATCAAAATGGCTTTTCAAAAAATGTATCTTTAGATTCATATTGCATCTTAATTTCATAAACTTTTCAAGCATATTACTCACCAATTCTTCATAGTTAGAATCTTTTTTGTGTCTCCCAAGAAATCCAGAATCACTTTCTTCAATGAAACCCAAGCTTCTCTTTCTAAACAAGTCATTGTTTTTTCAAATTTCTCGTCTTTAGTAAGTAATCTAATTTGAAGCCCAATAAAAATGCCTTCCTTAATTTTTGCATTACTGAGATGAGAAAACTTTGTACAGAGGTATTTAAAACCATTTCCTTCCTTATGCAGAGCCTTCACGAATTGCTTCATTGGACCCAATTTTATATGCAACGGAGGTAACAAAATTTTATTAGGATCAACTAACGTTTCATTTATTACATTTTTCACGCCAGGTTCCAAGCTTTTTCTTTCCATTTTTTTTTCTGTCTAATGAAGTTCTCTGGCTCTACTATCCCATTCGCAAAGAAAACATGGGAATTTGGTGAAACCTTGCTGTTGTCCTAAAAGCATACACAAAATTTTCAAATCACCGCAAATTAACCAGTTGTGTTGTTCATAATTAATATATCCCAACAGTGTTTTTAAGTTTTCATATGCTTCTTTTAAATGAACTGAGTGTCCAATAGGTACTGATGCATATATTCCCCCATTGTGAAGGAGAACAGCTTTTAGATTTCATCTTAAGGAATTAATGAAAAGTCTCTATTCATTAGCATTATAAGACTTTAATCTCAAAAAATGTATCAAGTCAGATACATTATTACAAAAAACTAATGAATCTACCATAGAAAAAAAGGAATAAATTCTTTTTCACGATGCCTGTACCAAGAAAACGTTGTTTCTGATTCTAACAAATCCCTTTCTTTCAATCTGGATCCCAGTAACTGCATTTTCTTTAGATAGATCTAAATCTCTTACAAGATCATTTAAAACAGACTTATTGAAAGGCTTTGGACTATTGTCATCAACCGGATCGATTTCATAAGTTTCAAAATCTACATTGTTCTCATCAATAGGATTGTCGTTGTCTAAAGATGGTAAAGAAGGGTTCATTGGTCGAGAAGGAATAGGAATATCAGGTCCATGAAAACAGGTCTTGTAGCACATGAAAGTGTTGTATAAGAGATGTTTTTCTTATTGCGAGCATTATGGCCCGTGATTTGACATGAGCAGAAGTAACAGCTAGTTATATGATCAGTTGGTTCACGCCAAATCATTGGAATACCAAATCGCATGCCACTTTTTTTCCCTTTCAACCAATATCTCAATCCTTGATAGCAAGTTGTACAAATTGTATGAAGAACCCATGATTTATCAAGATTTTTATTTCAATATTAAAATATTTAAAATAACACGTTTTGATATTTTGAGTTACAGGAACTTTTTGCTTTTGCGGAACGTATTCACCACAGATGTAGTAAAATTTATCAGGATCATTTTTACACTTTCGCGAAGCCATTTCATTAAAAAAAATATATGTATTAAAGAGAACAAATGAAATATGTAAATACTCTACACACTTTAAATGATATATTATAATAATAGGAACAGGATATATGAAGTTATTACTGCAGCATAGTGTTACAAACGTAATACTGCATTAATTTCACGTCAGTTCTGTGAAGTTCCTACTTTTATCAATGAAATAACATTAATTACAAGTTGTTCAGAATAATCAAGAGCCTATTATCATAATTTTCTAAAAAATGTTCACCATATTAACAATGATGTTTTTAGTTGGTACTACATGGGCTGAAAAGTTTTTGGCCTGACATATAGATGGCGCCACAAACTAAAAATCCTTATATTTCCTATAGAGTACCAACCTTAACTTAGATGCTGTAAAAATTTCATGATATTTCGTTGACTCGTGTATAAGTTATAGCTTTCGAAGTGACGTTACCTCTGAATTTATCTTTACTATGGAAAAAAGCGAATTTCGTGTTTTGATTAAACATTGCTTCCTGATGAGAAAAAACACTGTTGAAGCAAAGGCATGGCTTGATAAATGTTACGGCACATCTGCCCCACCGAATTCAACCATCAAATATTGGTTTGCTGAGTTTCGTCGTAACCGTACGAGCACAAATGATGCACCACGTTCAGGAAAGCCAAATGAGGCAGTTACTCCAGAAAACATCTAGAAAATCAATGAAATCGTGTTGAATGACCGCAAAATGAAATTGAGTGAGCTAGCTAACATCATAGGCATCTCAAAGGAATGCGTTAGTCATATCATTCATGAATATTTACACATGAAAAAGCTTTGCGCGCGTTGGGTGCCGCGTTTTTTGACAATTGAGCAAAAAGCGGAACGTGTTCGACTTTCAAAGCAAAATCTGGCCCTGTTTAACCGCAATAAGAAGGAGTTTTTGCGTCGATTTGTCACAATGGATGAAACATGGATCCATCACTACACACCGGAGTCCAATCGGCAGTCAGCGGAGTGGTTATTGCTTGATGAAAGCTGTCCGAAGCGCCCGAAGACACAACAATCACTCGGCAAGGTTTTGGCCAGTATTTTTTGGGATGCGCATAACATAATATTCATTGATTATCTTGAACATGGTAAAATTATCAATAAAGAATATTACTATACATTACTGGATCGATTGGACGACGAGGTCAAGGTCAAACGGCCACATTTGGCAAAGAAAAAAATTTTGTTTCACCAAGACAATGCTCCAGCTCACTCGGCTCGCGATGCGACCGATAAATTAAAGAAATTGCGCTATGAATTGGTCCCGCATCCCCCGTATTCTCCAGACCTGGTCCCCAGCGACTATTTCCTTTTTCCCCGACTGAAGCAGTGGCTCGCTGGTAAAAGATTTTACTCGAATGAGGAGGTCAAGTTGGAAACAAATGCCTATTTTGAGAGACTTGACACCGAGCACTATAAGACCGGCATCGAAATGTTAGCGGACCGTTACACTAATTGCATTACTCTAAATGGAGATTATGTCGAGGAATAAAATACTTTTTTCATTAAAAAAATCGTTTTTTCATTGTTAAGCCAAAGACTTTTCAGCCCATGTAGTATATAATATTACAAAAATAACTTCCAAAGAATCCTATCTTTTTATTTTCATTTTTTTCTTACTGTATACAATAAAGTATTATATTTTCTTTCATTTTATTGATTTTAATTTTTTTAACTTTTAAATTATAATTATCTCTACCCTGACGTGGTAGAAAAATTCTAAGGTCGAATTCGTATTCAGCGAACAAAATTACGTAGGAAATGACCTTTGACACAAAATCATACAGACTTGTGTAATCGGTTGAATATTGTGAAAAACAGCATTTTTTGGCTATTTCAACCTAATTATATCGAAAACCTGACGTGATAGAGAAATTCTAAGGCCGGATTCGTATTCAGCAGACAAAATTACGTAGGAAATGATCATTGAAATTCAAAACGCAAACCATGCAGACCTGTTATCTAGATAGCATAAAGCGAATGAAATTTTGAAAATTAGTTTCACCCCTTAAACCTGAACCATTGCCGTTAAAAAAAATACTAAGCGCGCAACTAAGTTTCCGGGTTTCATACATGGATGGCGCTAACGACACATGTAGTCGACATACATGTCTGAAGTTGTGTTTTTTTTATAGCTTGGACATTTGTTAACAATAACCAGTCGTAACACCAATACATATCGCAACGCAAAAATATTTTTTCTAACAACGAAGATGTCGAGTTTTCTGCCAAATAAACAGCATTTGCGGGAAGTTCTGCTTTTCTGCTTTAACTTGAAAAAAAGTGCAGCTGAAGCACGTCGTTTGCTTGAGGAGGCCTACGGCGAACATGCACCATCGAAAACTACCTGTGAAGATTGATTTAAACGCTTCAGAAGTGGCGATTTCGACACTGAGGACAAGGAGCGCTCCGGAAGACCAAAAGCAATTGAGGACGCTGATCTGCAAGCGTTATTGGATGAAGATGATACGTAAACACAAGATCAATTTGCGGAGGCATTAAACATGACTCGCCAAGGTATTTCCAAACGTTTACATGCCATGGGAAAAATTCAAAAGGTAGGAAAATAGGTGCCACATGAGTTGACTGAGAGACAGATGGAAAATCGAAGAGACACTTCCGAAATTTTGCTTTTGCGGCATGAAAGAAAGAGTTTCCTGCATCGAATTGTTACTGGCGATGAGAAGTGGATATATTTCGAGAATCCCAAACGCAAAAAATCGTGGCTTTCATCTGGCGAAGCATCAACATCGACGGCACGGCCAAATCGCTTCGGAAAGAAGACAATGCTCTGCGTTTGGTGGGACCAAAAAGGAATCGTATACTATGAGCTGCTGAAACCGGGCGAAACTGTCAATGGGCATCGCTACCGATAACAACTGATCAATTTGAACCATGCATTGCTCGAAAAACGGCCAAAATGGGACACGAGACACGAACGAATGATATTGCAGCATGACAACGCTCCGTGCCGTCGCACTTCCATCGTCAAGGACACTATCAAAACGCTGAAATGGGATCTGCTACCGCACCCGCACCCGTATTCGCTAGACCTGTCCCCTTCTGATTATCACTTTTTCCGGTCGATGGCACATAGCTTGGCTGGGCAACACTTGGTCAATTTCGAAGAAGTGCAAAATTGTTTGGATGAATGGTTTCGGTCCAAAGACGCGTCGTTTTATCGTCACGGTATTCATGTATTGCCAGAGAGATGGCAAAAATGTGTAGCTAGCGAGGGACGATATTTTGAATAAACCATTTTTTGTATTTCTCTTGAAATTTTCCATTTTTCATTGATAAAAAAACCCGGAAACTTAGTTGCGCACCTAGTATGAGTCCTCTATTTTAGACTATTTTATAAATATGCCAAGTTTTGTCGAAATCAGAGACATACACTTCGCGGATGTTACTTGTTAGTACAAATGAATATAATAATATGAATAGAACGAATTTATTCTTAAAATTCTTTGAAAAGAAAAATAATTATTGCATGTCGTAACATTCAATCAAATACCTTATTAGAAATCGAAAAGTCATTCAGAGAGCGAATTATGATGTATGTTAATTCCTACGAGCATATATTCGAATATGAATGATAAATCTGTTTTCCAATTTTTATATGTCCATATTTTTATATTCCATGACTTTGAGGTCTATTAGCACTATATTCATCTTAATGCAAATTATAATCGTAGATATTTGAAAATAGATAATTTCATTTAAAAAAAGGCTCGACAGATAACTTTCATATTTTTTTATGCCTCCATCTAGAAAAGAACAACGTACTCAAAATACGTCCCATTTAAAACGGCTCCATTTTAATTTGAAACTTTTATCTAACTTTTTTGTATCAATAATTTCAGAGAATATTAATTGGATTAATTAAAATGGAACATATTATATTGGGTCTGGGAAAAAGTTCGTGGCGTTTTTTTAATAAAATTCAACTAGTTTTCTTATAGTGTAAAAATGAATTTATTTAAATCAAATATGCTCCATTATTATCGACAATGTTTCGCCATTTTTCGGGTAGAGCCATGATGCCATCGGTAAAGAACTTCTGTGGTTTTTGGTTGAAAAACTGAATCAAGTGGTTTTCACAGGCTTCTTTTGAAACCAGCTTAATTCCATTGAGAGAGTTTTGCAGACATCGGAACAAGTGATAGTCAGAGGGTGCTATGTCTGGACTATACGGTGGATGCATCAAAACTTCCCAACCAAGCTCTCGCAATTTTTGACGGGTCATCAAAGAAATGTGTAGTCAGGTGTTGTCATGATGGAAGACAACACCTTTCCTATTATTCAATTCGGGTCCTTTTCTTTCAATTGCCTGGCGTAATCTTTCTAGTTGTCCACAGTAGAGTTGAGAATCAATCGTCTGACCAACTGGAAGTAGCTCATGGTGGACAATTCCCTTCCAGTCCCACCACACACACAGCATTATCTTTTTCGGCGTCAATCCTGGCTTCGCGAACGCTTATGACGGCTCACAAGTATGGTGAGCCGTCCTTTGTCCACGATCTTTGACGCTTCCGATTGTCGTACGTGATCCACTTTTCATCACCAGTTATGACACGTTTCAGAAATGGCTCGATATCATTGTGTTTCAGCAGCGCATCGCAGATGTTAATTCGGTCTATCATGTTTTTCGCGCTCAACTCAAGGGGAACCCATACATCGAGCTTCTTTTTGTAGCCAACTTTGTGTAAATGGTTCAAAACAGTTTTGTGGTCAATGCCTAGCTCCATATCAATATCGACACTGCTGATATGCTTATCTTGCTGGATTTTTTCAAGAATTTCACCAGCTTTTTCAATGATTGGACGACCAGAGCGTGACTCATCTTTCACATCAAAATTACCAGAACGAAAGCGAGCGAACCATTTCCGCGCAGCAGATTTTGATAAAGTACCTTCACCGTATACAACACAAATTTTTTCACAAGCCTGCGCAGCGTTCTTCCCTTTGTCGTAATAATATTGTAAAATATAGCGCAATTTTTCATTACTTTTCTCCATTTTCAAACGCAAACAACTTTCCAACCACTGCACCATTTTCGATGTTTATACACTCAAAGTAACGCTCGAAGTGTCACCTTTCCAACAAGCGTTTAGTGGTGTTGCTGCGATCTGTGTTTCCTGAGTTAGTTGCAATTGGCACCATCTACACATATTGGGAAAAACGCCACGAACTTTTTCCCAGACCCAATATATAAATAAATTTAATATTTAGAGCTCTTTAATTTTTATCCTATAAAAATCTTGTTTTGCGAAAACAATAGAGAAGAATGGGACAAATTAAAAGTTAAATTACAAATTAAGAAATTGAAAATTAAATTAAAAATAGAAATATTTTCTTAAATATACTCTATTATGAGAGAGAAGGAAAGAGAAGGACGGAGGAGAGCGAAATATCACAAGGTTTTGCTATAATTATTTTTCATACTTTCTTAATTTCTAAAGATATTTGTAAAGAAAACTAAAAAGATCCCTTAGTTACAAGAGGTAATTTCCATTACCCCTTGTAACTGACCATTAAATGTCTAGAAAATAAAATAGTTCTAATACATATATTTTTTTATAGTGTCTAAAGTTCACTAAAATCCTTGAGGAAAATTTATAGTAGCTCCCTTGTAATACACAAATTGTGGTTATTATAATTGGATTACTTTTATTGCTAATTACTTATAAAGAGTATTATATTTTGAATATTTTTATCTTTATAATTTATTTCCAAATTATATATAGAATTAAGTAAAAAGTCGATTTGTTATAACAAACATGTGTAGGGAATTTATGTAGTTGAAGAAAATATAATTTTTATTAATAAGGTATCTAGTGAAATTTGTTCATCATGTGAGTAATTTTTATAATAATCAATATTAATTACAGTTTTTACCTGTTTTCGCCGTTGGCTTATGGGATGAATGGTCCGTCCGCCATGGACCCCAACAGCTCGATGCACTTTTTACGATGGATGGATTCCTGGGAATTTTAAATACCGATGTACTCACCATAATATAATATATACATTATATTGTAACTTATATTACATGTACTTATTTTACTATTAAGACTAATTTATATTTTCAAAAATACTCAAAATGTAATAGGAGAATGCTTACATATATATTTGTATCTACAACAGAAGGGAGTTGCATTAGAATGTGCATTTACAAAATATAATCTGATAAGAGCTTGCTGTCTCGAAAACAGTTTATAATGACTTGGAAAAAAATACACACATACTATTTGATTAGAACTGTGATGCTTTATTATTAATTCAGTCATCCTCATTATCAATAAATGTCTAGCATTTCCGAGGCACACTTTCTACTAATTTTATGGCATATTTTTAAGGTAAAAGTCTCTAGAAAAAGATTAATTGAATTTGTCAAATTAACTCCTTAACTTTCCAATTTTTCTCTCCACAAAACTGAACCTTCATCAATGCCCAAACATTTCCGATGGAATTTATATCCGATGTCTGTGATGGTCAATCCAGTAGGTCAACATCATTTCCTTATTTCCTACTATGCAGTAGAAAAACAATTCCGATGTTTTGAGTCATTGTAATAACCATTTTTCGTTTTTTTTCTTAAACCACTTTTGGGCAAATGGTAATAAAGTCCTCTCACAAATTTTGACCATTTTGATAGCGTTCAAGTTATCTGTTAATATACAAAGTGCCAAAACCTTGCTTTGAGAAGCAGCTTCAAATGTATAGTTTTTTCTTCGACGTTTTTCATCTCAACCAAGGAAACACATATCCTTCTCCGACTTTTACGAGCTTGAAATATATTGTAATCTAGATTCAAATAAAGAATACGAATTTTTTTGATGTACTCAATCGGTCTTTTAAGGTGTGAGATATTCCTTTGAAAAAAATCACTATTTTTCTTTCGAAGTATTATTATCAAAAGTATAATAGAAAAAACTTGCCAAATTAAAATTTAATGATTTGAAAAGTCACTTATAATGGCGTTTTAATTTTTCTCATGTTAAAATTTTAAATATTCTTCTACCACTTACCAATTTTCTTATTATATAAAAATTTTGTTTCTACCAAATAAAAAGATATTTTATGCCGAAATCAACCATATATAATAATATTAGTTTTGAACATACGAATTTTTCATAAAATAGGTGAAAATACTTTGATAAACCAATAACGCTACATGTAACCGTCTATCTTATTTAATATATAGGGTGAGGAAAAAGTCTCGGACCGGTAAAATATCTCGAAAACCAAACATTTTAGAAAAAAATGTTTTGCACAAAAGTTGTATGATTTCAAGGGGGGCATAAAACAACTATCATTTTGTTTACAAATGGCACTATTTTCGAAATATTTATTAATCATTACTTTTCTTAAATGGAAACCCCAATTTTTTATTACACTGTCTTTTCTACCAATTAATTTAAACAATTTTTGTCTGAAACATTTTTTTATTTGCCTAATATTTTTCTAGATATTGCAGGAAAATTTGATAATTTATTCAATATTTCACTCACGATATTTCGTTAACTTTTTGTCAGAAAAAAAAGTGGTACTAGACTTCTTTGTTCTATTTAATCTTAAGAATATATTGTTACAATACCGCCTTGACTTTTGTTAACTTAATGATTTTTGGAAATTTCAAAATCATCAAATTAACAAAAATCAGGGCATTATTGTAACAATATATTCTTGAGACTAAGTAAAACAAGAAAATACTACTTTTTCTTCCGATAAATAATTAACGAGATATCGTAAGTTAAATATTGACAAATTTATCAAATTTTTCTTAAATATCTCAAAAAATATCAGGTGTAGTAAAAAGAAATCCATTATTTTTCCAATAGATGGCTTTGGTTATCTGTATCTCGCGTTGTATAAGTCCGATCGGGTTCCACTAGATGGCGTTAGAAAGATGAGATTTCGTACTAAAAAAACTTTTCTGACAGTTTTGTGATTAGTTGACTCAGTTTTGTTTGAGCGCGCGTCAAAGATGGACACTAGCAAAGAGAAAATACGCTATATTTTACAGTTTTTCTTCGATAAAGGCGAAAACGCAAGCCAGGCGGCTGAAAATGTGAATAGTGTTTATGGTCCTGATACTGTAACAGCCAATGACGCGCAATTTTGGTTTCGTCGATTCCGTTCCGGTAATTTCGATGTCAAAGATGCACCACGCACTGGAAGGCCAATTGTCGAAAATATCGATAAAATCATGGACATTGTCGAGTCCGACCGTCATGTAAGCACTGTTTCGATTGCCCAAGAGCTAAAGATTGCACAAAAAACCGTTTGGAACCATTTGAATAAGGCTGGATACAAAAAGAAGCTCGATGTATGGGTGCCACACGAGTTAACGAAAAAAAACCTCATGGACCGAATTTCCATCTGCGAATCGCTGCTGAATCGCAACAAAATCGACCCATTTCTGAAGCGGTTGATCACTGGTGATGAAAAGTGGATCACTTACGACAACGTCAAGCGAAAACGGTCGTGGGCGAATCGCGGTGAGCCGGCGGAAACGGTGGCCAAGCCAGGATTGACGGCCAGGAAGGTTTTGCTGTGTGTTTGGTGGGATTGGCAGGGAATTATCTACTATGAGCTGCTCCCCTATGGCAAAACTCTTAACTCGGAACTGTACTGTCAACAATTGGACCGTCTGAAGGAAGCAATCGCCCAGAAGCGGCCGGCTTTGGCCAATAGGAGAGGAATTGTGTTCCATCAGGACAACGCCAGGCCACACACATCGATAGTGACTCGCCAGAAGCTCCGGGAGCTTGGTTGGGAGGTTCTTATGCATCCACCTTATAGTCCGGACCTGGCACCAAGTGATTATCATCTGTTCCTGTCCATGGCGAACAATTTTGCTGGTGAAAAATTCGCTTCAAGAGAGGCTTGTGAAAATCGACTGTCTCAATTTTTTGCCAATAGGGACGAGGGCTTCTATGAGAGAGGCATAATAAAATTACCTTCAAAATGGCAACAAGTTATCGAACAAAACGGCGCATATTTGACCTAAATCGGATCATTCTAACTATGGTAATTAAAGTCTTCAATTTCATGCAAAAATAATGGATTTCTTTTTACTACACCTGATATATTTTTCCATCCGAAGGAAACCTATTAAACTTAGATTCGTCGGACCACAGCACATTACGCTACCATTTATCGTATTTTTCTCTGTGGCTTTTAGCGAATGTTAATCTTTTTGCAATATTTCGTTTAGATACATGTAGTTTTTTCTTAGCAATACGACCATTAAGTTTTGCATGACACAGTATTCTTTTTATAGTCGATATCGATAGTTTAATATCATATTGACTGGATATCATCTCTTTCAAGCGTGGCGCACTCAAGAAAGGTTCCTTTTTAACTTTTAATGCAATTTCTCGATCCAGGCGCGGAGAAGTTTTTCTAGGCCTTCCTCGATTCTCAGGTGTTGGCTTTGTTTGTTTCGCTTTCTTAATTGTGTTTTGAACGCGTTTTCGAGAAACATTTAATTGTTTTGCAATGTTATTCATTGTTGAGTTATTTTTCCACATTTGAAATATTTGTTCGCGTTCGTCATTACTTGTATGCTTTACTCTTCCCATCTAAAAGTACGGATGATAAAAAGATCATTAGTAAACAAAATTAGATTGTGGTATATTTATAAACTGTAGTAAAAATATCTGATGAGATTAGAAAAATGTACTTTAAATAAATGCGAAATAAGATGGCTCTATTATTTTGATCCAATTAATACTGACCTTTAACTTATGTTCAACTCTTTCACACTTCACAACACTATTCTATGACAGCAAACTAGCATCAATGTCTTCTCTACACTCGTCTGATGGCAACTAATTGCTGCGCTTCGGGTGTAATTAAGGTTAGCTAATAACAATGTGGTTCGTTTTGTCTCCGCTAGAGGTGGCTCTATTCTTTTGAGCGCCACTGTATGTCTGGACTATACGGTGGATGCATCAAAACTTCCCAACCAAGCTCTCGCAATTTTTGATGGGTCATCAAAGAAGTGTGTGGTCGGGCGTTGTCATGATGGAAGACAACACTTTTCCTATTATTCAATTCGGGCCGTTTTCTTTCAATTGTCTGGCGTAATCTTTCTAGTTGTCCACAGTAGAGATGTGAATCAATCGTCTGACCAACTGGAAGTAGCTCATGGTGGACGATTCCCTTCCAGTCCCACCACACACACAGCATCACCTTTTTCGGCGTCAATCCTGGCTTCGCGAACACTTGTGACGGCTCACCATCCCTTATCCACGATCTTTTACGCTTTCGATTGTCGTATATGATCTATTTTTCATCACCGGTTATGACATGTTTCAGAAATGGCTCGATGTCATTGTGTTTCAGCAGCGCATCGCAGATGTTAATTCGGTTTATCATGTTTTTCGCGCTCAACTCATGAGCAACCCATACATCGAGCTTCTTTTTGTAGCCAGCTTTGTGTAAATGGTTCAAAACAGTTTTGTGATCAATGCCTAGCTCCATACCAATATCGACACTGCTGATATGCTTATCTTGCTGGACTTTTTCAAGAATTTCATCAGCTTTTTCAGTGATTGGACGACCAGAGCGTGACTCATCTTTCACATCAATCGAGAGATATGGAATAGTTCCCAACAAAAGTTGTTGAGAACTAACTCTACTCCGTAAGTTCAATAACATTTTCTTTTTTAGGAAAAAATCCATCATGGATACCCCAGACCCTCGGGAAAGAGCTTGAGGTTATGTAGAACTCCTACCGGCTAAAACCTCCCTGGGTGGCGCTGCGAAGGGACTTACCTCGGGCCCCGGAGCCACGTAACTGCAATCGGGGCCCCGAGTCCAGACGTCGTCATTTATCCATGAGGGGTTGGGGGAGGAGGGAGACCGAACCGAAGCTCCTCCTCAACCATCCTTCTGCTCTCCCTCCATCCCTCATGCCCCGTCTGTAGTGCTGGAAAAGGGGAGACCGACCGAGGTCGATCTTCAACCGTCGTTCCCAGCCAGACGAGGCGCCGCCTCGAATGTTGTGCGACGAGCTAGGCCACCGCCACCTTGTCGCTCCCTCGTTAGGAGGGCTGGATGGGATCCCGGGAGTCCCCGCCTGGAACCCCACCCTCCTCCACGGCGGTTACGCGGGGAAAAAGTCTCCTAGCCGCCGGGGTCTCTCGCTTGATAGGCGAGGGGATCGTACAATCCCCTCTTCAGGCCCACTCTAAGGTGGGCTGATAGATAGGGGGGAAGTGGTTTTATATTGACAAGTGTCACCTTATTCTCCCCCCCTTTGCTGTCATCCAGCTCCCGTTATGGGGGGCAATTGGGCGGCCCCCTGTCTTGGAATGTCAGATGGTGGTGGTCTCAGCACCGGTGGTAGGGGAGGAACATTTCTACTTCTGTTTCTTTCTCCAGGCCTGGCCGGTGCTCCCGGTGACAAAAACTGGCCGGTTTTGGGCCCTCCTCCTAGGTGGTGGTGGAGGTTGTGGTGGGGGACCCATCATCGCCCTCACCATCCTATCCTTATTCGAGGAGTCTACGTCGTTGTCGCCGTCGTCCCCACTTCCCGGCCTGTGCCGCTGGGGATGGGAGTGGCGGCACTGGTGACGCCCTCTCGGTCCTCTCTCCCTTCTTATTTCGGCATCTTCCTTCACTTTCGTTACTGAGGAGCAAAAGGCTGAGAAGGCGTCCCATTTTTTTTCGCTCCCCAGAACACTTAGAAAAATTCGAGCAATTTCTTTTGGCTGCGACAGTCCCAATTTTATGCCAACAATAGCAAATTGTTGGCTTTATTTTTTGAGATATGACGAAGCTACGTCCAATGCAACATTCTTCATTCCAACCTCATTTTTCTTCTTCTAAGTGTTCTTCAAGGACTCAAAAATTCTGTGTTGATTGTCAAGTCTATCAATGCTCGAAATGTTTTCAGATTTTTCATAAGTAAGCTGCATGAGTTTTCATAAATAAATATCTCTAAATTCTCCAAAAAAGTATAAAAATAATAAAAAAATATAAAAAAAATAAAAAAAAATAGAAAAAGACTCTCACAGATGTCGACTTCCTTGTGGTAAGAGTCGAGCAACGGCGATGTAATTATCGACGGCTAACAACAGAGAGAAACCTAAAGGCCATCACACATAAAATTCCATAAGAACATAAGACGTAAGTGTAAAGAAATCGACCAATCTCAATGTAATATTCAGCTCTTCGTAACCCCTCGACTTTTGTCCGTAAAACATAAAACGTAACGTCGAAAAATTCAGTAAGGATGAAATTTTTATGGCTACGTCTTGTGGACAACCAATCACAACTGATCAGACTATACACTTTAGTTTGACATTTGAAGCGAAGCTAGTAAGGTTAGATGTATTTAAATAGCATTTGTCGCAGTGAGATAAGTGAGGTGAAATGAGTGATCACAATAAATATTGTAATATGTTTAATAACTCGGAAAATGATGAACTGCTTATTGATACGGTAAGAGCATACCCACATCTTTATAACCACCAAAATCGTAATTTTAAAGACCATTTGATGAAAGAAAATTCGTGGAAAGAAATAGCCTTAGCAGTAAACAGTTCAGGTATATGAATACAATAGGCAATTTTTGGCTGTCGTTTGGTACATGTACCAGGTTGTCATTGGGCTAGTTCATACTAAATATTTAACATATGTACTAAATATCTATACGGCATAAATGTTTAATATATTATAGAAACGTCTCAAAGATATTTGGATATCTCTGAAATATATTTTGGACACTTGTGCTTTAAGAATATTAGTACATCTATTAAATGCTTAATGTAAATTAGGCCAGTGACAACCTGGTACATGCACCAAATGATCGCCAAAAATCGCCTATTATTAAAGAGTTTTTGCAATACTGTCTTTCAGATACGGTAACGCTAAAGTACATTCCGATATTCATTGCCAATACTGCGAATATATAGTTTGTGTTACGTATCCTATAGATTTGAAGTACTGGCAGTGAATATCGGAACGTACTTTAGCATTACCGTATCTGGAAGACGATATTGCAAAAATTCCCTATTATTAAATGATAATTATATAATATATACAATAATAGAGTATGCTGGTAATTATTATATGCTCTGAGGGGGGTCTTTATATTTCTACTTCTTCTATTTATTTATTTATTAATAAGAAAATCAATGTTTTTATAGTTTCGGATTGTCAAAACGTTGGATAAGACTCCGTGAAAGATCGGTAAAGAAAAACGGTAAAGGGAGTTGGATTCAAGGAGTGACAGTGCAGTCAACGAAGTGGCTTTATATATTACGAAAATAGGTCATTTCTAAATGACCATATCAAAAGAAGGAAGTAAGTTTATGAGTCAAGAACATAAATAAATGTTGACGCATATATCAGTGTGTAATGTTATTGTGTGTGCGTGTGGTCTGGCGTTGTCGTGATGAAAGACGACTCCCTTGCGATTTGACAAAATCGGACGTTTCTCTTTTATTTCTCGATTCAGATTGGTTAATTGGCGACAGTACTTGTCCGAATCAATCGTTTCGCCAGCGGGGAGAAGCTCGAAATAGATTATGCCCTTGCAATCCCATCAAACAGAGAGCATCACCTTCATCGGGTGCAAACTGGCCTTTGGCATTGCGTCACCATGCTCACCTGATTGTTTCCATGTCCGTTTGAGCTGAACATTGTTGTAGAGGACCCATTTCTCATCGCCCGTCACTAGTCGATTAAAAAACGACTCGTTATTGAGCCGCCCGAGTAAAGAAACGGCTGCAGAAATTCGCTTGATTTTGTTCTTCTCGGTCAGCAAATGGGGCACCCATATATCGAGCTTCAAATCAAATCCCATCTTTTTTAAACGCCGAAAAGCGGTTGATCGGTCAACGTTTAGTGCTGTAGCAACTTCTTCTGTTGAAATTCGCGGATTATTGAGCACTAAAGTACGCAAAACATCGTCATCAATGTCAGAAGGTCGACCAGAGCGTGGCTCGTCTTCAAGGTTAAATTCTCCGCGCCGAAATTTAGCAAACCATTTTTCCACAGTTCGTTTAGCTGATGCTTCATCCTGATAAACATCCTGAATGTTTTTTACGGCTGCGGCAACGTTTATTCCCTTCCGAAACTCGTAAAGCATAACATGCCGTAAATGCACCTTATCGATACTCATTTTTAAAGTGATATTTCTCGAAGCAGTTTGTATGAAAACAAATGATTTTTTTTTTAATAACAGCTGAAGACGTCACCTTTCCAACGTTATATAATATGTAGATGGAAATATTAATGACAACACTTTACGACGCTTATAACTCCATCTATTGAAACTCCGCACGAACTTTTGCACTCACCCAATATATGACTTTCTCAGGTCTTATACGAATGTTTCAAGTGTGGAGCGTATAAAGACAATAGATGTCCCAGCTAATAAGCCTGACACACACATCTCACCAACGAGTTCTCTGTTAACAAATAAAAAAGACAATCAAATCAATCTTCCAATGGACAGTGAAACTATGGAAAATACGGAATCCTCAATCTTCAAGATCGCCTCACAACTCTAATGCAGGAGATGAAGTACCATTGGAACCTTCTGTGCAACCGTGTACAAACTTCTCAACACGATTTAAAAACATTTCCTTGCCAGACACTGGCTCTGCTGCATCATCAATGAATTCACTCGGAAATGATCACTCAAGTTCAAGTACTTCACCCAAATGTTGTCCAAATACACCTAGTATTCTTGATGAATCTGAAGAATCTACATTGTTTTTAACAAGAGAGTCAACACCTTCTACAGCATTTAAAAGTTTGCAAGCTACGCCAATGTCACGACAACCACCATATAAGAAAAAAGATAACTCGGGCGCATTGGAGAGTTCTCTAGTTTTACTTTGTCAAACTATGCACCAACGTCTCTAGAATAATCGTAATTCCGAAATTACTGGTTCCTCGGAAGAAACTTTTGCAAGGTTAATCGCGAATCAATTAGAAAAGTTACCATCATATGAAAAATATGAACGCCAGCAAGCAATTATGCAAATTTTGTATGAACCTTATATAATTCTTGAAGACGAAAATGATAGCAAAGTTACGAAACATTTTTATATTTTAAATTTTAAATAGCATATTATTAATTTCATATTTGTGTTCCTAATGTTCCTAATGTTTATTTTTAGATAGGATGCTATGTTATTTTCTTGTTCTTTATAATATTTTATGCTTACGTTTTTATATTCAAGATATTTAACTGTAATTATATGTAGACGTGCTCAGGGAAAGAGAGTTATTCCATATATATTCTTCTGTATCTTTCTTTATATAATATTATATAATCTTTCTTTATATAATATATAAAATATATAGATTATTGATATTGTATATTTTGCAATAAATAAAACATTCAAACAATATCTTGTAATTATACGTACATTGGAAATTTATTACAAACATATATAATTATATGTCTGGAGTATCATCACAATTGAAACCTCTGCGGACATATGTATACTGCCATGGAAGTTCACCTTCAGAAGTGACAAAGAAATTTGCTAACAAGTCTCTTTGATTATATGCTGCTCTTGTTGCGCGATGGGCATTTGATGGTAAGTAATATATCCTCCTGTAAGTAATATATCCTCTTCTGTCATTTGCAAGTGTTCAACAAATTCTTTCAATAAATGACCTGAAAAATGGTTTTATACATATATACAATTACTTCTGTACTATGTTCCTTTACAAGATATACGTGACTTAAGTTTGTTACTAAAACTGGCAATTTTTTTCCTAATTGTCATTGAAAGAAATATTAATAGAACACCTTACTTAAACAAAATCTAAATGATGCATTTCTTTTTTTTATAAAACACTCTTTGTTATCAAAGTGTCAATGATTCTAATATTCATATTTATCTAAATACATTTTATATTATTGTAAAATTTGAAATTCAATAAAAAAGAAGCATCCCAGTAAGCAAAATGCTAGCAGAATGCGCGCAGATTGACGCCAATTTCGATCAGATCTCCACATCAAAACCATAGCCACTTGTGTCCTCATTAGGCTCGTGTTTTGTCGACAGGACCTGTACGACAGGCCGTGCAAGCAGATTGTCAGCAGAAACCGCGCAGGTCCTGCTGCCAAACTACGCGTAGAGTCTACGCGCAGAGTTTACTCGGTTTCTGTCGCCAATCTGCCACCAAATTACTGCAAGTCTTGCGCGGTTTTTGGTACAAATCTGCCGTCAAATATCCGACAACAGGATCTGGCGCATATTTGACCGCAGATTAGCAGCATAATTTGATATAACAGATTCTGCGTTAAATTTGTTGCCTATTTGCCATCAAACTATGATAGCAGGCTTTGTTCGAAATCTGCTCGCGCAGGTTTGGCTATCTGGGATACTTACTGTTTGGTGGAATGGTACTAACATTGACATTTCAGGTTAAACTTTACGAAATGCAAAGGAATCTTTCTGCATTTTCCATTGGCTGACTTTTATGTTTTACGCCAACTGTGTGTCATGGACTTTACGTCTTACATCTTAAGTTTACGTCTTACGTTCTTACGAAATTTTATGTGTGATGGCCTTAAGAGCGGCCATGGCCACGTTTTGCTTGAGGCGCTTTTTCGCGACGGTTTGATATCGCCCTCTGCATTTTTAGCCGGGAACTATTTGCTGCATCCATTTTCTGGCGCGCCGATAAAGTCTCCTCTTGATGGAAGTCCGTGCTACGTCCACTTTCAATCACACGGCAGTGATAGAAAATCGGTGACGGGCTTGCCAGCGGATTTCCCCCACCACGCACGCACGCACAGCCGAGTCGGTCTATTTGTGTCAGCCACGCGCTCGGCAATCGTCGGCGCGCCGAGCGAGAGAGAGAATATCATTCCCTCTTTCTCGCTCTCGTGTTCGATCGGCGACACGAGCGAGAATATTTTTCCTTCTTTCTCGCTCTCGTTCTGGCTCAGCGATGCAAATTAGGCTGATTCTTTCTCGGCTATAATCTGAGTCGCGGGCGCGACTATGACGACACTGAGAAGTTTTTCCTATTCGGCGCGCCGAAATTATTATGAATATTATTTTATTATTAAAAATATTATTGTTTATAATAATAATATTAATAATATTCCGCGCCGAGAAAATGAAATATATTTCAATAATTGTTTTGCTGAGGCGGACAGGTTCATAGATTTGATTGTTGTTGGGAATTGTTTAATAATATTTGAAGAATAATTTTAAGTTGTACAAAGATGTAGAATAAAATATTATAAAAGTATTATAACAAAGTCAAGAAGGTGCGAAATGAAACCTTTTTGCTTTCATTACAATATCCTCTGAATTAACACTCTTCAAACAGTATTAAACAATCCTCAAAAACAATTACATCCGTGAAATCTTCTGTTTGTGCGAAAAAAATTCATAAAATATGTCTGTTTCGCCGCGCTGAATGAGAAAATCCTCAGAACAATGTTATATTTAAAATGATGTACAGTGCATTAATAAATATGCAGTCTAGTAAAAAGGTAATTTATTTGCCTATTATAATATCTTCGAATGTATTCACTTGTTTGCAAACGGTTTTCCCATATATTTTCGATGCAGTGTCGGATAGCACAACTGTTAATTCAATGAATCTGTTTAAGAGAAATAAGTGGACAATTCCAAATAAATGGCAGCGCTCTGAGTTCAGTGTTCAGTGCACCACTCAATAAAAATATAATAATACTATGTTTGTATTTAAATGACACAAAGTTTAACGAATTGTTTGTGAAAAATCACCGTAATGATGAAAAACAGTTATAGCATATAGTTTAGGAAACCCACTCTTTGCCAACAACGTGGATAGAATCAAGTTGGAAAAAGAGTAAACATTCTTCTTGCGATGATACCAAAGTATGAAGCAAATGCATTATGCATGTAGTACTGCAGTGGTATTGTGCATGCATGAAGAATGAAAAACTATTAATAAAGTAATTATTAGTAATTAAGTAAGTAATCAGTGTTTAAAAACATGTACTGTGTCGTGTATATAAATAGTTTTAGTAAAAAAGAATATGTAAATCCACATTACTGCTCGATGGAAACCGCGAGAAGGTGGTGGTTTCTTCCATCAAGAGGAAATGATAAACAAATGTCGAATAAGTCACTTATGAAATGGAATTATTTGACATTGGTTTATATTTCCTAAGGAATGGTAGGATGTAAGGAAAGGAAGAAGCAAACATAAAGGGAATAGTAATGTCATGCAAGCGTCATGCAGACAAAATATACAAACAAAGAAAGTGCGATATTAAAATACATAAAAGATATTACAGCTACTGTATTTACAGTTGCAATAATGCATGCATTTGCACAATGTTTTTATGAAAAGTCTTTCACACAGAGGAAAGCGAGATTTAACGCGCAAATCTGCCTTTCTCTGTCAACACCAAGTATCAGTGACGTGTCATCTATTTCAGAATGTTACATTCAATCATGTAAATACTATATAACACATGGTGTTATGTAGCATTTACATATCCAGATAGCAAAATGATAGCAATATGCCAGCAAATTGCTAGCATACTTAATCACGCATTTGCAGCAGATTCTCATCCACTGCGTCCGCATTGAGCTTAGTTTATGATAACAGGACCTGCTAACATAGTATGCCGATAAGAATACACAAAAATTGAATCATATGTTATTGTCATAATGAGATAGCAAAATCGCATCAAAAGTTGAACATGATGTGCAATCATCATATGACAGCAAAAGCGCAGCAAAACTTGAGCACGTCGTGCCGCCACAACGTGACAGTAAAAGCGCAGCAAAACTCGAGCACATCGTGCTGCCACGACATGATAGCAAAACCATAGCAAAACTCGAGCACGTCGTGCTGCCACAACGTGACAGCAAAACCGTAGCAAAACTCGAGCACGTCGTGCCGTCACGATGTGAGAGCAGAAAGGAAGCAAATCTGAGCATATCGCGCAGTTTCAACATGTCAGGAAAAACGGGACAAAACTAGAACATACTATCCCGTCATGACGTGAGAACAAAATTGCGATAGAAATATATTAATACATGCCACGTTTTCTGTAATAATATGATAGGGTTATTAACCGTGTTTTCCTAAATATTGAACAAAGAAAATAAACATGAAAAGTAGTACAATTTAATGTCATTAATTTTAATGTTTATTTTCTTTATTCAATATCTTGGAAAACGCGGAAAATAAAATTGAATAATTGCATAAGCCTATATTTATTAAAAAAAATTTATTTGGTTACATTTGCGTTATTCTATTAATTGTATTACATGCTTGTGCGTTATAAATGATACATGTCATAAAAGAAGTAAGTAGCAAAATTGGTTTACAGGATATGTTATTACCAAATATGCGAACTTTGCGTCACTTAGGGTTTTCACACACGAATCGCCATAACTGGTGAATGTAAGACGTGAATTTAAGTTAATGAGCCAATCAAGATTGTCCTAAATTTGTATATTCCAAAGGAAGATAGAAGTAACCGTGCGAGTGCGATTTAGACTAAAAAAGTAGCATTTTAACTAAACGGAGTTACTTCTACTAGTCTAGTTACTTCTACTAGTCTAGTTACTTCTACTTCCCAAGCAGATTTATGACCAATTCCATCTTTTTCCAGTGTATATAAGTCTAAAGCAATGTCCTGATTGGCTCATCAGTTTACTTTTATAATATTTTATTCTACATCTTTGTACAACTTAAAATTATTCTTCAAATATTAGTAAACAATTCCCAACAACAATCAAATCTATGAACCTGTCCGCCTCAGCAGAACAATTATTGAAATATATTTCATTTTCTCGGCGCGGAATATTATTAATATTATTATTATAAACAATAATATTTTTAATAATAAAATAATATTCATAATAATTTCGGCGCGCCGAATAGGAAAAACTTCTCAGTGTCGTCATAGTCGCGCCCGCGACTCAGATTATAGCCGAGAAAGAATCAGCCTAATTTGCATCGCTGAGCCAGAACGAGAGCGAGAAAGAAGGAAAAATATTCTCGCTCGTGTCGCCGATCGAACACGAGAGCGAGAAAGAGGGAATGATATTCTCTCTCTCGCTCGGCGCGCCGACGATTGCCGACACAGATAGACTGAGTCGGCTGTGCGCGCGTGCGTGGTGGGGGAAATTCGCTGGCAAACCCGTCACCGATTTTCCATCACTGCCGTGCGACTGAAAGTGGACGCAGAGAGAAGCCTGAGAGCGGGCATGGCTGCATTTACAGCGTTATGGAAAAGTTGGCTGATTCGCAGCGCCAACTGAGTCCATTTTGGACATGAACTACTAAGCCAATGTCCACGATTTGTTGGTACTATTCCGTGCTATGTCCATAATTATTTGGTTCTGTTCTGTGCTATGTTCACGAGCGAGCTAGATTAGTTAGATAAAAACGAAGAATCGGTCTTCGTCTCACCACCAGCGAATAGACAATCACGACGAAGCGAGCCAGCAGCGATGTTATCGGAAGGTAGACGTCGCCGTCTCCCCTTTCACCCCCTTATTTTCCTTTCCACATTGTTTTATATTCATAATTCGGGAAGAAAATAATTTCGAGAGTTCGGACGATTTCTAGCAATGACACGACAGAGATAACACGCGGCCACATTAATTTGTCATGACTTTTATATTACTTATAATTACATAAACGCCCATATATGCAAATTATAGATAATTATTGCGCGTATGTTTTAATATTGTACAATACGGTATATAATAACAACTTCATTTCTTGCAGTAATTTTTTTAAGATCTTCGTTAAGGTCGTGAATTAATTTTCTTCTTCATCAATCAGTTTTCTGCAAAAATTACGATTTCTTAAATTAAATATAAAATGTTTTTCTTCTCTTCTCTCCGAAGAGTTAATTAAAAAATATGTACTCCACAGAGTCAACTAACAAATGTGTAGTCAGAAGAGTCAATTCAAAAGTGTACTCCGAAAAGTCAATTTAATAGCGTATTCCGAAGAGTCAATTTTAAAGCGTACTCTGAAAAATCAAATTAATATTGTAATCCGAAAAGTCAATTTATAATAGAATATTTACTTCGTTGATTCAGCTAAAGAAAAAAACATTTATTTATTATTATATTCAGAGAATAATATTTAATTTATTATTTATACTTATCTTACTTATGCTTACCCTACATATGCTTCTTTGAATGAAAAATTTAATTTGTTGACTGATTCAGATTCAGATTTGTTAAAATATCTCTTATGCGCAACTCTTGAACAGGTAGGTAGTAAAATAATTTTTTCCTCGACGAATTTTATAAACTTTTCACGAACATAAAAATTGCAAGATTCTCAGAGGACAAATAACTTTTCTTGAACATTTAAACCAAAGGAAAATATTTTCCCATTAATAAAGAATGAATAATTAATATCTCACACAAGAGGAATCTTCATCCTTGAAATCACCGTGCGATTTTGCTTTTAGAAAAGTATAATAATATTGATGTAATAGTAACAAATGCTATCCAAAAACGGTGCAAATCTTAAACGTTTTTGAGAAATGTAGTTCGAAGTTTAGTCTTTCTGTTAATGACGTTATAGCAGAAGAATTACCAATTTGCTTCAGTAGCGCAGTGGATCAGGCTTTGTGATATGAGCGTAGAGGTTGTTCAAGTGTGTTATTTTTACTATCACAGGGAGAACTATGTAGAATGTATAATAATACGCAGACAAATTCTTTATTCATACTTATTTCTTTAATCATACTTATTTCTTCTAGCATGAATAAAAATGATCAATGCTAACATGATAAGTGTATATCGCAATTGTACGTGTACGCAATTGTACACATACTCACACACATACACACGTATATCAATGATGTCAAAACCGAACAATTCGTGAAAATTTTATTGATCGCAATTGTACGCAAAGACGAAAGAGAAGTACACAGGTCTCTGCGGGTATCTCGTCATATTAATTGTCTATGAGCTGATAACAATTGATAACCGGTATTTACAAGTTACGCTTGTCCGCAACTTGTTCGGTTTTGACATCATTGGTATCAGTGATGCGAATTTGGTGATGGGCTTGCATGAGGATTCTCCTCTCCCCCCCCCCCATATACGCACACAGCCAGCTCGGTCAATCCGTGTGAGCCATGCGATCGGCAATTGTCGATGAGCCGAGCGAGCGAGAGAGAGAGAGAATATTATTCCCTCCTTCTCGCTCTCGTTCTCGCTCAGCGAGCCTAATTCTTTCTTGCCCATAATCTGAATCGCGGGCGCGACTGTCTCTCTCTCTCTCTCTCTCTCCTTTCCTCTCTATGACAATACTGAAAGTTTTGTCTACTCGGCGCACCGAAATTATTACAAATAATATTTTATTATTAATAATATTATTTGTAATATATATTATTTGTAATATTATTATTTGTAATATTATTATTTGTAATTTTATTTGCAATTGTATAATAATGTTACAAATAATACAAATTTTTACAAATTTTATTATTTGCAAAAATTTATATCATTTGTAATATTATTTGTAATAGTATTAATAATATTCGGCGCCAAGAAAATGAAATGTATTTTATTAATTATTTTGCGGAGTCGGGCAGGTTCGCAGGTTTGATTATTGGATTGTTTAATAATATTTTAAGAATAATTTTAAGTTATACAAGGATGTACTATGAAATATAAAAGAATATTGTAACAGAATCAAGAAATACGAAATGAAACCTCTTTGCTTTTATTACAATATCCTGTAAGTTAATAAATATTTTTCATACAGTATTAAATAATCTCCAAAAACAATTACATCCGTGAAATTTTCTATCTGCGCGAAAAAAAATTCATAAAATATATTTGTTTCGTCGCTCTAAATGAGAAAACTGTCAGAATAATGTCATAGTTATTCAGTGCACTAATCAATAAAAATATAATAATACTATGTTTGTATGTGTGAAGAATATTTGTTAACTTACAGGATATTGTAATAAAAGCAAGGAGGTTTTATTTCGTACTTCTACGGCCAAGACTTATTAACGGCTAAAGACATTCGAATCGATCTGGCCTTAATTGGTCGGATCAATGATCGGTCTTGCCTTAACTTCCAAGCTTCATAAATCGGAAAGTACTCAATGACATGTAATTTTGTTAGAGTGTTTTGGAAAGCTCTCGAGATAACCTACAAGAATATGTAATAAAAAATTGTAGTTTCTATTTAAAAAAACATTAATGACCTCGGCCTGATTTTGACAAGGTCACTCAAGGTCAAGTCCACATTTCCGTCATGTGTCCTCCTTCAAGCTATGCAACTTCGTTCGAAAAATTTTTTAATAAAATAACATAAAATTTACAAATAAAATTTATCATTATTTATTAGAACACTGAGTTATATGGTTATTTCACTTGTTATTGTAATAAATTAAGTATTATAACAATGCAATAAAAAATATTGCACGCACAATGGTCCGTTCTGGGCCCCCTGCTATGGGACATCGCGTTCGATAGGGTTTTGCGAACGCCCCTCCCCTTAGCCTGCCACTTCATCTGCTACGCAGATGACACCCTAGTGGTAGCCGGAGGGGCGGACTGGTGGGAGGCCCGCCTCTACGCGGAGGTGGCCTTGGCGTCGGTGGTGAGCACCATTCGTGACCTGGGTCTGAAGGTGGCGTCCCAAAAAACGGAGGCCGTTTTTTTCACGACGGCAGCCGTGGGGCGCCACCGGAGACCCAGGTCGTGGTGGACGGAGTCCGCGTCCACGTCGGGCCCAGCATAAAGTATCCGGGCCTGACGCTGGACGGCCGGTGGGACTTCAGGGCCGATTTCAGGGATCTGACCCCCCGGATCAGAAAGGCAGGTCTGGCCCTAGCCAGACTAATGCAGACCCATGGGGTCCGGGTTGGCACGCGCGTCGCCTATATGTTGGAGTGGTTCTCTCGATCGCCCTCTATGGGGCGCCAATATCGGCGCCCCAATTGTTGGCCATCGCTCAAAGCAAACGCCTAATGCGCCAGGCGCTCAGGGCGGCGACGACCCTGGTCGGCTCCCCCTCCCGTGGAGGACCTTGCCGAGGAACGAAGTATCCTCTATTGGAGAGTCAAGGAGCTCCACGAAAGGGGAGAATTAATGGCCAGGGAATTGACGGCCCTGAGGTCCCGGGTGGCTGCCCGAACTCTGGAGCGGTGGGCGGACGCGATGCCCGCTCCGCGGGAGTTCGGGCGACTGATGACGACGGCTGTCCGCTCCTGCCTTGCAGAATTTGCAGGCAAGAGGGGGCGCGGACTTACATTTCATCTGGTGCAGATGATGACTGGACATGGATGTTTTAGTCATTACCTGCACCAGATAAAGAAGGAGCCCACCACCGGGTGCCACCACTGCCCGGAGCCGGACAACACCGTACACCACACCCTGGCCGAGTGTGTAGCTTGGAGCAGGGAATGCGGTGTCCTGGCCTGGGCAATGGGGTGCGGGGAGAATAAGTTGTCGCTTCCGCGCATGGCAAGGGCCATGTGCGGGACC